TGCAGCTTCTCCAGCAGCTGCGGAGGGAGCTCTCCCTCAAAGGCGAGCGACACATGAAGGCCCCCCATCCAGTCCTTCCTAAAGGGACTTCTGCCCTGGATCTGGATGGCCCAGAGATCTCCCATCTTGTGGAGTCTCATGCGTCGCTTCAAGCCTTTACGCTGCACGCGGCTGCGCACCTAAGCGACAAAGCGGGGCTTACGGGGCTTAGGGGATCTCAGGGTTAACCGAGCCTTCTCGAAGGGACCTCCCCAGTCCAGGAAGCGGGGTTCCTTCACCATCACCTCAGAAACGGCAACAGACTACTCCATGTGTGCAATGCAGGCGCTCGGCAAAAAAAAAAAAAAGAAACGTGCAAGAACTCTGAGGGCTCCGGCGTGTCGAAGAACTCGAGGAAGACGAAGTCGAAGATCGATCCCAACCCCCCTACGTGCGCAATCCATGCGAACCTATGCAAACAAGCTTTAGGGCTTGGGTGGGTATTATGCCCGCGGCCCGCGATCGCCGACGGTCTGCGTCGGGGCGGTCCGGAGCTGATGGTCAGGCGAAGGGCCGAATCATCCTGGCATCAGCACTTTAATCAAGTAAGAAGAGGAGTCACGCAACGAAGCCATGATCGTGTCGAAGTAGGGCCCCGGCTGCTTCCCTGTGATGCGTCGCCTTTTCACCTCGTGTCGGTTCTGCATGTTCTTGGTCAGTACCCAGACAGCGCCCAATACCAGTACAGTGAGCATGCCTTGACCCATGTCAATGTGGGCTTTTTGCTGATAGTGCGTCATGTAAGATATGACTTTTGAATGATTGTTCTTTGCCTGTAAGCCACGAACCCGAAGTTAAGTCAATCAGCTCGCCACTGGTTGGGGAAGGCCCGAACCCACTGCGGTTTTGTCTTTGTCAGTGTGGGTATGAAGGCGGTTGCCATCTCCGATTCTGTAATCAACATTTCGTACATCTCGAAACACCCTAAACGTAAGTCACTGTTTGCATCATCTCTCCAGGTACAGAAACCTATGCTAGAGTCCCCCTTCAGCCGTCTTCGATAGGATTTGGGGGTGGGTGGTTTAAGGTTTGGAAGTTTGATGCATGATGTGTATCTGGGCAACAAACGCCCCAAATCCAAGCCGCCCAGCCGACTCAGATAGGATCACTTCCTCCGAACAGCCTCTTCCACATACTATAAATCCACATGACACGGTCTGTTCGGCACCTGCCTCCAGCAGCATGCGAACAATTTCAACGTGGCCTTCGTCACAAGCAGCCATCAGGGCCGTGCGGCCATTGCAGCTAACCCAGTTCTTGTTTGCACCGGCATCCAAGAGCAGCTGAGCAACCTTCACCTCTCCGTGACGACAAGCTGACATCAGCGGGCTTCCGCCGTACGCATTGACCACGTTCGGCTCTTGGGGCCGCTGCAGCATCGCCTCCACCTGCAGTCTTCCGTAAACCCTGAGCCCCTTAAGGTTTCCTGTTTCGGGGTTTCAGGAGGAGAGGGAAGTTTCTTAACCTTCTACAAAAAAAGAGACCCAAAATACCCCTCCCTACAACAACCCCATGCAGCTTCAGCGACCGAGCGACCTCTGCTGAGGAGCCGTCCTCTGCGGCAGTCACCAGTTCATCTGCTTGCTCTTGGGATGGGCTTGCAAAGTTCAGCAGGACCAACTCCAGGTCTGCTTCGTGGAGCTTGAGAGAATCATCCATGGGCTCGCCACGAAGAAGCATCCTTTTCACCTCGTGCGCCGGTTCTGCATGTTCAGGATCAAAGGCTGTTCGGAGGAAGTGATAAGCTTCGGCGCCCATCACAAAATTGACCGGAGATCCAAACAATCTGGAGCAGTTTCGAGTGCGTCCAGGGCTTGCGCACGCTGCCCTTGTGGAAGGTCGGTCGGACGGTCGGTCGGTCGGTAAATCGGTAGAGATAGATATCTTGGCTTGAAAGAAAAATAAGCATATATCTCTTCATTGTCATACACACACGTTTTGTCTGTACAGTTCATGTGCAGGTTTATACATATGTATATATATATATATATATATGCGCACACACACACACACACACGGACACACAGACACACGCACACACACACACACACCTTGCAGCATCTTGATTCAGATTCAGGCCCAATATGATCCGTATTAAGGCCCCATAGGGAACCAGTTTAAGAAACCCTGAATCCCTCAAGCACCGCCTGGGAAGCGTCCGGAGCGGCAGAAGCCCGGGCAGGCCGCCCAAGCCCGCAGCTCGGCTCTGTAGCCACCTGGCTTTAAAGGGTGTGAGGTTCAGGACTTAGGGTTTTGGGGGTTAAGGGGTAGGGTCTAGGGCGAAGGGCTTTGGATTTAAGGTTTAGGGTTTAGGGGGGTTAGCGTTTAGGGGTAAGGTTTACGGTTCAGGGGTCTCCTGTAGAATTCCGCGGCAGATTCTTAAGAGCTCTTGGTTCTTTTGGGGTGTAGGCCTTTGCAAAAGGGTTTTCAGGCACTCTTGGGTGTGGGGCTTCGGGTCTTCTGCATGGAATTCCAAAAATCCTACAGCCCCACTCCGTAAAGCCCCGAAAAAGTTCCAAAAAAACCTTCAGCCTCACGTGCTGAGCCAAAATCCTTCAGCCCCACCAAGTCTGCCCGGTAGAGCCACCCGGTCTGCCCGGAAGGAAAACAATCCTTCAGCCCCACGCGGTGGGATTTGCAAGAAGTTTTCGGCCTCATTTGGTGGGATTTTTTAAAATAGGTTTGGCTGGAGGTTTTTTGGAAGGTTTGGCAGGACATGGTCTGGGTTCAAGCTATTGGGGGATGGGTTTGCTTGTGCGTCAAGCTATTGGGGGATTCTAGTTTTCAGGGTTTGCTTGTGCGTCAAGCTGTAAGTGGAGTCTAGTTTTCAGGGTTTTCTTGTGCGTCAAGCTATTGGGGGATTCTAATTTTGATGGTTTACCTGTGCGTCAAGCTATTGAGGAATTCTACTTTTACGGGTTTGCCTGTGAGTGAAGCTCTTGGGGGACTCTACTTTTCATCAAGCTATTGGGGGATCTTACTGTTGCTGGTGCTGGTGCTGTCTGAAACACGCCCCCTCAAGTGGCGATTCCGTTTCGTCATATATCTCAAATTCCCCTCATTTGGCAATTCCGGTTCAACATATCTCTTAAACATGCCCTCGCATTTGGTGATTAGGTTTCACCAGATATCTTTAACACGCCCCCCTCATTTGGCGATTCACGCCCCATCATTTGGCGATTCCGGTTCATCATATATCTTAATGAGCCCTGTCCAAAGGATAACCTCGGTTCTCCGATATTTGCATCAGCCGGTTGTTGCGAAGGCGCAGCAAATACAATGATCACATGATGGTCGCACAAGAAAACGAAACTCACATACTTTGAAGCAAGCTTGCACTGCTTAAAACAGCACGGGGGAGTTGGGCGGGGTGCAGCCCCCCCATTGAAAACAGGATGCTCGCATGATAGGTTTGAAAACGCCCACATGCTTTGAAGCAAGCTTGCACGGCTAGAAAAGCGGTCGGTCATATGCTTTGAAGCACGCTGGCGCGGCTCAAAAACAGCGGGGGGTTGGGGGGGCCGCAGCCCCCCCCCCCATTTGCAAACACAATGCTCCCATGATGGGATTCAAAAAAATCAGATTCTTTCAAGCGGCTGCACGGCTTAAAGAAAGCGGGGGTTGGGGGGGTCGCAGCTTCCCCAGTTTGCACACACAGGCGAATCCGCATCATCATATATCTTGGTCTTAAACGCGCCCTCATTTGGCGATTCTGGATCATCATATATCTTAAACACGCCCCCTCATTTGGCGATTCAGGTTTCATCATATATCCTGAACACGCCCCCCCCCATTTGCCGATTCCGGTTCAATATGCATCCTAAACATGCCCGCTCATTTGGCGATTCCGGATCATCATATGGAGGACCAGGGGAGTGCAGGACCAGGAGACCACGGGACCGGGGAAGCACGGGACCAGGGACCAGGGGACCGCAGGAGGAGGAGACCACGGGACCAGCGGAAAAGAGGACCACCTTCAGACAGCCTCTCGCCAAACCTTAAAAAAAAAAACCTGGCCCCTTGGTAGGCCCTGAATGATTTCCAACTTTAGCCTCACGACAGGGCACAGCCCCAAATGGCGGACCTCCCGGCGGAGCCCTATTTCCCAAAATCCTGCAGCAGCATGCGGTCTGATATGAAGGATTCAGAAAAAACTTGTCAGCCCTACCCGGTGCACCCGTTCAAGGATTCACAAACATCCTTCAGCCCCACCCGGCCTGCCCCGAAGGATTCAAAGACATCTTTCAGCCCCACTCAACCTGCCCTTCAGGATTCAACTACATCCTTCAGCCCCACCCGGATTGCCCTGAAGGATTACGTGACTCGGCCTGCCCTGAAGGATTCAAAAACATCTTTCAGCCCATCCAAGGTTCAGGGCCGTGGACCCTGAACCTTGAGTCTTAAACCGTGGCTTTAGTCTCCCTTGCCTAAACCCTGATCCCCTAAACCCACAATTTTGGTTTAGTGTCCCCTAAACCCTAAACCCTAAACCCTGTTCAGTGTCCGTGGTTGCCTGGAGAAGAAGGTGCCATGGAGATCTTCGGAGAAGGCCCGCCGGGCCTTTGAGGTTCACTTCGTGCCGCTGACAGCAAAGAAGGGACAAGCTCGAATCTGCTTGGGGTCTGGATCATGATGGCTCGATGTTTAGGGTTGTATATGTATGGTGCTATATTTCAGGGTCTTAGGTTTAGAGTTGTAGAGTCTGGGCTTTTCATTCACTGTTTTGTACTGAGGGTTTCACGGGATTTGAGACGGCCAGAAGAATGAGCGGCGACTGTGTCCCCTACGAGGAGCTGGTTTGTGATCTAGGGTTTAGGGTTTAGCGTTTAGCATTTAGGGTTTAGGGTTTAGGGTTCTGAGCACCACAAGAAAGTCTTAGCAGAAAGCTGCACTCAGCGTCAGGCAATATGTACAGTCTCTGCGGACGGCGTCAGCGGGGAGGAGTGGACGTGCTCCACTTCCTGCGCAGGGCAGACATCACAGACGGACTCGCCTTGCCCTGCGCAGGAAAGCATAGTGTGCCCAAACTGTGTGTTCTCGGTTTTTACACGATCTATTTCCCTATGAAAAACTGCTATAGAGTCTATATCTATTTCCCTATGAAAACTGCTATAGAGTCTATAGAGCCTTAAAAAAAGGGCTACTTGCACAAACTCCTTTGGCTTGCTTTCGAAACCCCCAGCGGGGCGCCTGCTCTCTCGAGTGCTCTTCCGCGCCAGAGCCATGGAAGGCCATCCAAATCCCAAGAATTCAGAAATGGGTCCCCCTATCTTCGGAAACCCCAATGCAGGGTCGTAATAGTGACTATGGCTTGGGGTCGTCGATTCCCTAGACCCTGAACCCCGACGGGTTCAACGGGGTCAACACATTGAAAATGTCTCCACGCCTGCTGCTCGTCCGGCATGCAACTGCTGACATGTGGATGATCGTGGAGCGACCGTTCGTCGGGGGCAATCACGGGGTTATGACATGGTTCCACCCTCAAAGCTGGTTGAAAGCTTGACATGCCGGAGAAAGATTTAGCTGCATGAATCGCAAGGAGAGACATCTGGCCATCTGCTCCCGGTGCAGACTACATGCACAGTGAAAGTGAAGCCGCACCCTCATCCCCACGCAACCCACATCCCAGCCAGCGATGACGCTGCCATCACCGACCTGATTCCGTGGCAAACATGCGCAAGAAACTTCCAGGGTTCAGGGACTTACCACCCCAAATCCCTCAACCAAAGCTTAACGCCATGAAATGCGATTCAGTTTGACGCGGACATTCCTCGGCTCCAGACTTTAAACTCGAACAGCTTCTTCTCCTCAGCAGCACAGGACCATCAAGGGCCTTGATGTTCGGATCTCCATTTTAAGCCTTGCTAAGGGATGGGGCTCGTCAATCACGGTCTAAGAAGCTTACGCATTCCCAAAGAGACTGCCCGAAGCTGGAACATCCACACTGAACCATAGCATTTTCAGTGAGCTTCGACAGCTAAACCGCTGCTCCATGATTTGATGCAAGCTAGGAATAGTATATTCAGTAAACCCCAAACCCTAAACCCGCGACACGGAATGCTGTACTGCGTGGATCCTTGGCCCGCCACCTCGGTGCTCCAGAATGTCTTTCCCGTCTGTTGGAGCATTCCTTGCCTCACAGGTTGGGACGAAGGAAGGCACGGACCGGAGAATGGGCCCCGGCTCAAAGAGCTTTGCTGAAGCTACCATCAGAACAATGTTTGCAGAAGTCATGGAAGTAGCAATCAGAGCAAGACGAAGAAGAGTATCGATAATGATAATGAAAAGACGAAAGAGTCGTAGTAAGAATAAGACAAAGAATTAACTACATCATAAGGTATACCTACGATGGCACATGGAACTCAGGGCATGACCCAAGAAGACCAGCTACAAACGCAGATGATGGCAAAAAGGACCTGCCCTGAGACACAGGCGCACTGACGATGATCTTGGCGCCTTTCTTTACCTCGCTCGGAGTGTCTTACGCCCAGGTCAGCCAGTGTCAGCCATCCTCTTAAACCCCCACTCTAGGTACCGAAACACGGTTTAGGGTTTAGGGTTTAGGGGTTAGGGGCTTAGGGTCATTAAGGCTGTGGGGCTCCACCTAGGATTCGATGCCCGAGCGTGCCAGGATGCAAGCCTGCTTTAAGGGATCCCAACAAGGACGTAAGGAAAACCCATAAGGTCGTGACATGTCTGCTACTCCTCTCTTTAAGTCAGCACGGATCCTTAATGTTAAGACTCCCACAAAACAAAATACCCCACAATTTTCAGAAACCCTGCATTAAGACTGTCTTTCCGATACCCCAAGCCCTCAACCTAAGACCCCTAGACCTCTTCGGCTCTTCTTGCGCCAGACCATACTAAGCCACGGACCAGGTCAAAACCCTGCCCTTGCTTGAGGACCTGCGCAGGGCCCCTTGAGGAAGCTGCATGTGAGGGTTTCCGAAAATAGGGAACCCCAATATAGTACCCCAAATAGTAGGATGCTTGATATAAGGACCCCCAATATAAGGTACCCCTCGTGAACGGAAACTCCCATATAATAACTTGAACTCAGGGTAGTACATGGGCTTTGGCACAGGTTCTAGACTGGTTTTTATCGGGGTTCCACAGGGCTTCTTGAAGGGTTCTACAAACGTGATTCTGAATGCTTGCATACAGGGTTTCACAAGATTTTCAAAACAGTTCCAGAGCAGGTTAGATGGATTTCAATACGCTGTAGACGAGCTCTGTTATGTTCTTATGTTCTAAGAGGTGTTGAGAAAGGTTTGGAAGTGGCTTGAAAACTGCTTAAAGGTAGTTAGGCTTTTTTCCATACAGACACTAGAGGTTTCGCAGATCACACTTCCAACAGCTGCCATGGGTTTAAGGATAAGGGCATTAAGCTTGAGGGTTATGTTTAGGGCTTAGCTTCTGGCTCTTGCAGCTTCTGATCAGGAGAGTTGCGTCAGTGTTGCGCAACATCGGGACAGCTCCACATGGCGTCTCCGAAAAGGAGGGGGGACTCCGATACAAACCCCGAATAGCCTCCAGGGTCCCCAAGGTCAAGAAATCCCAGAGCAATGCCAAAAATGAAAAGCAGCGTGTAATCAAACCTAGCAAAGCCCGAGAAAGATCCCATCAAAAGCCTTGCAAAATGCGGGTAAACGAATTCTAAAGTGTCTCAAGCCCTACTTGTAGTAGAGCTCTTTGCGGCGTGGCCCTTAGCTGCGCCTGGTATGTCGTCGAATGTCCCGGGATGGGCTGCATCTCTTGCAGCCTCTGCACTCTCTGATGCGGCTCTTCCCATGCAAAACTCTTCCTTTGGTCTGGGATATTTGCAGGGCTTGAGTGCGCAGGATCTTTTGGTCTCAGGTTTGCGTTTGACGGGATCGCTAGAGAAGTAGCAGCGTGCTGGTGCAGACTGCTGGTTGCGCCTGGCGGATCCCGGAACGTAGTCGGCCGGCAGTGAGGCCGCTAAGACGGGGTGCCAACGAGCTTTACAGTAGTTCAGCTTGGGATGCAGGCGCTGAAGCTGCGGAAGGGACGTGTGAGGCAGAGGCATCCTGGACGGCTGAAACACAAGCAATGACTCGATCATGACATGAGATGCCCGGTTCACCCAGGCGGTTTGGTGTGATACGGAGCCAAAAGGCTTCAGGATCCCATGTCACTCCGGCGGCTTCGAGTCATCGCTTACACCACACAACTGTCAGGGGTGGCAAATCCGGGATTTAAGGGCGTGTACGGGCATGCAAGGGCGAGGGGGCCCCCAAGACTTCCTCTGCAACCCTGACATAGAATACGTCATGGTCACCATCGCAATAACAATGATTGCGTTGATGTTGTTTGTGCAGCAACTTTGGGGTGCAGGAGCAGAGAGGTCGGAAGTTCATGTAATTCGCCTATCTTGGCCAGAAATTTCTCCAACAGTCCAAGATCCTCCAAGCCCATGCTTCACTTTACACCAGGAAATACCCTAATCAGCTACTCGATCTTGTGGGCCGTTTGAACCGCCTGAATGTGGGATTGAGGTCTTTCCGCTCAGATATGCAACAGGCACTATTGGCAGCAAAGGGCGCACCTACAGCATCATCCTACAGCCTCCATACACTGTCACCTCAGACGAAACTTATCCATGCGCTGAGTTGTTGCACCGACGGGTTTGTGGTGTGTGGGTTTGGACTTGAAGTTCTTCCAAATATGCAGTGGCTGATTAATAGCATTCGCGCATTCCCAAACCCACATGTTTTGCCGCGGAAGGAGTGTATCAAACGTCAACTTCCAAGTATCATGATCTTTGGACAAAAGCGAGAACCTTCGTAAAGGAAGCGAAGCAATGACACTACTAGCCAGGTAGAACGCTGAACGGCCCTTTGTGGAGAACTCCCATCAATCACCGACACGTGAAAACGAACAGTACAGTTATCTCAACGCGGAACAAACCGTCCGAATCTGGAATACAGACAACCTGCCGGTATTCTTTCATTTTCCCCACCATCATCATGCTCTTGCATTTGCCGGGCCAACGTCCCGCAGAAGGCACCACCTGGCCTGGCGCACAAGCTGCATTCCGACGATCCCGAAAAGTTTACGGCTGCAGTGTGGCCTAGTTCATGACTTCTTGATTCCCGGTGCCGAATTAGTTCTTGCTGCTGTGCAAGTTGTTTGCTATTGCGGCTCACAATTGCGTGGTTGGGCAGCTGCGATGATCACGAGGCGCAGGTTTAAGAAAGCGCTGGGTGCCGATGGACCCTGTGCAAGAGTTTGACAGTAGAAGGAATGACAGCCTGCTCATGATTGCGAATGATAAGCTGGACAGCCAGGGTCCAAGACAGAGACGAGGGCCTCGCAAGCCTGCAACTCTGAAACCTGGCAACCTCAAGATTGAATATGGATCTGCAGTATTCATCCCTCAACCCTGTGCGACGCAAAAGGCTTCATGCTTCGAAAAAAAATTAACGCTGCCTCAAGAATGGCAGCTCAACTGGTTCTATCATCAGACGTAGAACCTGTAGCAACTATTTGCCCACACTAAACCCGTCCAGAACAATAATGTACCACAATATATGATAGCAGATTAGACTCACTTTGGCCCAGCCCCATCATGGGGCAGGTGACTGCAAACGCCGGAACCCAAAGCTGCATACTCTCCATGTCCGAAACACAGCACATATCCCTGCCGGTCCATGTAAATACCGTGCAAAACGCAAGTGTTGCCAAGAAGGTTTAAACACTCCTAAAACTTGAAGCACAACATCTTACAAACATCAAAAACAAAGATGCCAGCTGTGGGAGGAGCTCGCCAATCCACCCCAAAAGCCCAGACCTAGGCGAAAGAGGGTTTGCTTTTGAAGTACTGTGAATCCCACAGAGCTACATCAGAAAGCCGTGACCTCCATCTGCTCTCGCAGCATTGCAACCTCTTGCTGCAGTGCCACCTTACTGCAGTTTGCAGAATGCACGGTTGAAACATGCATGGGGTGTGCCCCCTGCCTTCTCTCGCTCCAGCTCTGCCTGCAGCAGTTTCTGCACTGAGGCAAGTGATCTCAACAAGTGTAATGGCCACCTCCTTCTTGGACTTGTAGCTGTAGCTCACCTTGCCGTTGGGAAGCACCGGCAAACCTGGCCGAGGCTTTGTTGACATTCTGTTCGCACAGTCATTGTTGAGGCCTGGTTGATGGCTTCCCCACAGTGATGGTGTGCCTTGCTGCTGCTTTTTCTTGTTCCGGCCACCCCCCCCTCTCCCAGTAGCAATACAATGCGCACTCTTTCAAGCTGCGGCGTGCATGGTGGGGACACCCCAAACAATATTTCCACGCCTAGCGTGCACACACCACTTAAGGCGAAACCGCACAAAGGATGATACTTTAGTTCCAAATTTTCCAAGTAGACACATTGCAGCCTCCTTAAGATGTGATTGTGTGAGGAGCCAGACAATCGGAGAAGGTGTCATCTAATGTCCAAAGGATACACTTGTTCCAGCATCCGATCAGGCATGGTTCACCGGTTTTAAGTCTGATGCTTTGGTCTGTTGCCTGATGCGTGAGACTGACATGGAGGTAAGCTATACATAGGATAAAATTCCGGGCAAAAGTAACGCTGAAGGTGGACTGAGCTCCGCTCAAGCCCACTCATCAGGATGCCAGCATGCGACGGACAGCTGCAAAAAGGAGTTCGCAGCAGCCGTGCCGACCTAGGAAGCTACAAGAGATGTGGATCATTGCAATGTTGCTTCGTTGGCTGGTCGAGGTTGGCAAGTCCGTCAAACAAGTGTATTGGTATGTTAAGACATCCTTTTTCGATGCCTGCACTACAACACGGCAACCACTAGCTGCGTAGACTGACAATAGACTTGCTTCGGCCTGTATCGACCAGACTATGCATTTGCAGCTGTCTGAAGACGAGCCTGAGGAAGATGCGGATGTATTGCCTCTCGGCGTGAGGGCCTCACCAGTCAAGGGCGACATGCTTGCCATTGGCATCGAAAGGCTTGGACTTGCCCATGACCTTAGCAGCCTTCACGCCGGCCTCCTCGACCGCCTTGCGAGATGCAGTCTGGAGGGCCTTAGCATACTCCTCCGGCGCTGGCAACTTCACTTCCACCGTGCCGTCTGTCACACGTGTCCGGAAAGTGGAGAGGTTCAGGTCTGGACTGGTGATGCCACATCCCGTTCTCAAGTCATAGACGGTCTTGTACACTGGATCAGCCACTGTGATTGCGCCACTGGCTGGCTCACCCACCAAGCCGCGAGAGATCACGCGCACTTGCTTGAAAGGGCACAAGTTCTGGGTGGCGAACCACTTCTCCGACTCATCCTGACGGTGCGACAAGTTGAAGACCGCCACCTCAGCGTCACCGTGCTTCATTGCAAGACCTCCGGCCCGCGGGAAGTCACCAACCTTCCCGACAGGGTACCACTGCCAGATTTTCTCCGCCTTCTCCTTGGAAAAAGCAGCTGCACCCTTGATGTCTGGCAAGTCGTAGGTGGCTGGATGGCGCTGCTTCCGCATGTTGACGTACTCCAGCTGCTCCGTGTCTTGGGTCTCATTGGTGTTCGCAAACTGCTGGAACTTCTTCTGCAGCTCCTCGTCGTAGACAACCTCCTTCCACTCGCACTTGTATGCGTCCACATTGCGGCGCATCATCCCCTCCAGGTCTTCGCAGATGCCCAGGCAGTCATCAATGATGACCTTCCTCAAGTACTCGATTCCACCAGGAAGCTCTTCGAGCCATGGTGCTGTGCGCTGCAGATGCTTTGCTGTGCTGCAGTAGAACATGAGAAAGCGGTCGATGTACTTCAGGCATGTCTCCTCATCGATCGAGGAAGCGAAGAGCTGTGCATGGCGAGGCTTGGCTCCGCCATTGCCACAGAGATAAAGGTTGTAGCCAGAGTTCGTGGCGATGCAGCCTACATCCTTGCCCTGTGCCTCAGCACATTCTCGCAGGCAGCCAGACACAGCCATCTTGATCTTGTGAGGTGCGCGCAGGCCCTTGTAGCGGTCCTCCAGGGTGCAAGCCATGCTGACTGAGTCCTGCTGCCCATACCGGCACCATGTGCTCCCCACGCAGCTCTTCACCGTGCGCAGGGCCTTACCATAGGCGTGGCCGGACTCCAAACCAGCATCAACCAGTTCCTTGAAGATGGAGGGAAGCTCGTGCACGGGGGCACCATACATGCCGAGGCGCTGCGCGCCCGTTACCTTCGTCCAAAGCCCATACTTCTTGGCGACGGTGCCAATGGCTATGAGCTCATCGGGCGTGATGTCACCACCGGCGCAGCGCGGGATCACCGAGTAGGTGCCAGTTTTCTGAATGTTGGCCAGGAATCGATCGTTGGTATCCTGAATTTGATCGCGACCGCCCTTCAGCACGCTGTCGTTCCAGAGGTTGGCCAAAATGGAAGCGATCACCGGCTTGTCCAGCTCACTTCCGTTGCCGCCCACGGCCACCTTCTGAATGGCGTCTTCGAAGGTCTTGATCTCCTTGACACGGAAGATGTTGAAAAGCTCCTGGCGCGTGTATGGAAAGCACTCGCTGATTCCAGCCTTGACCTCCTTCCCCAAGGCCTTCAGCGTCGCTGACAGCACCTTTGGCACCTCGCCTACTGGAGTGCAGCAACCTCCACAGCCCGTGCCAGCCTTTGTGCACTTCTTGATCTGAGGCACTGTCAAGCAATCCTTGTCCTTGATCGCGTTCACCACCTCGCCCTTGGTGACATTCAAACAAGTGCAGATGACATCGTCCTCCGCAATGCCTGTGCCGTCTCCACCATCGTTGGCCACTGCTCCTTGACCTGGGGGAGGTCGGCGGAAAGCCAGGCTTTCAGGATCAGCGCCGCCCAAGTCGCCCTTCTTGCAGATCTGCAGCAGCTTTGGATAATCCTTCGCGTCGCCAACGAGGACACCTCCAACAAGCTTCTTGCCATCCTTCGTGAAGCACAGCCGACGGTACGAGCCGTCCAGGGGACTGCTGCATTCCAAGTTCACAACCTCTGGGTCCTTGCCGTCGAACTTGCGCTTGAACCAAAAGCTCTCATCGGAACCGAAGGACGCAACATCAACTCCCAAGAGCTTCAGCTTGGTGCTCAAGTCACTCTTCTCGTAGCTGGCAGTGCCTGCACCATCAACGAGGTTCTTGACCAGTGCCTCTGCCTGGTCAACTCCCGGAGCCCATAGACCATAGCAAAACACGCCCCCAATCGACGCAACCTCTCCCAGAGCATAGATGCTAGGGTCCGTAGAGCACAAGCTTGAGTCCACCTTGATGCCGCCTCGTCCACCGAGCTCGAGACCACAGCCACGTGCTAGTTCATCTCGAGGGCGAACTCCGCAAGAGACTACAATCATGTCCACGTCTAAAATGATGGGCTCGCTTTCGCCATTGGGAATGAACTTCAAGCCCTTGACCTTGCCACCATCCAGGACAGCCTCTTGGATCTTGGCTCCACTGTGCACATGGATGCCTAGGCTGCTTATCTTCCTCTCCAACGCTTTCCCAGCTTCCTCGTTGAGCTGTGTAGGCATGAGGTACGGGGCCATCTCCACGACGTGGCTTTCCATCTCAAGATCATACACTGCCTTTGCAGCCTCGAGGCCCAAGAGACCGCCTCCGATCACGGCTGCGCGCTTGGATTTTTTTGCTGCAGCGATGAGTGCTTCAAGATCTTCAATCGTCCTGTACACGAAGACACCTTCAGGGCGAGAAGCTGGGTCATCTGGCCACTGGGGGTTCTTCTTGTCTGGCAAAACGAAGCCGGGAGTTGGTGGAACGAAGCAGAAGCTGCCAGTGCAAAGCACCAGGATGTCGTACTTCAACGAGTCTGCATCTTCATCAACAGAGCTTCCACCGTGGCTGACATTGGAGTACGCAACAGACTTGCCGTCACGGTCAATACTGGTTGCACGACCATAGACGAGCTTGACATTCTTGCTCTTCAAGTCCTCCTCGCTCCAATAAGACAACTTCATCTGGTCATGCTTGTCGCCATCGCAGTCCAAGAAGTACTGTGTCAGCATGACGCGATTGTATGCTGGACGAGGCTCCTCGCAAACCACTGTGATTTCAAATCCGGCCTCCCTCTCAGCCAGTTTCTCGATGAAGGCATGACCGATGGGGCCATGTCCAACCACAACGACCTTCTTGCCTGCCATAATCGCACACCCTTCGCTGAATAAGGCGACTATGCTCAGCCTCAGCAGCTTTAGATCTGTGTCCACACCTCACCTTGAGCCAACGGCTCACAGGCAACATGGCAACATCAACCCGCTGTGACCCAGGCAGACGTCTCAAAGCAAGCCGCCGGCCTGGATGTTCCTGAACTTCTCCGAGATTCGACCTCAACACTCCAGGGTACAAAACCGGACACAAACCCTCCCCTAAACCCTAAACCCTGGACCCTAAAATCCCTAGAAGCCCTAAGCAGGCCCCCTCTGTCGGCTGGAGTTGCAATAGAGGTTTTTGTTGCTTTGGGTTTAGGGTTTAAGGTTCAGGGACAAGGGTTGAGGGTTTGGGGTTCGGGGGTTCTCGCAAGAGTTTTGGCTCTCGCAGCTTGGGCAATCCGGGCGAGGTGTCTGAGTCCGATGCGCGCGCCTTGTGACTATTGAGCAGCAGCTATGTGTAGTGGCGATCGCAGGGTTTAGGCTGTAGGACTTCATTCAGGTTTGGGAAGCCCTTAACATTGAAGGGTTCTTCTTCAAGAGGTCCATACTTCAGGGTCGGCCTTCATGATTGGAATAACTTGGTGCACCACTGTAAATCAAAGAGAACCCGAACCCGAAGGTACACCTACTATAGTAAGCCTCAAGGCTCCACGGGCTCGCTGCCTTCTGTCATTTCTGAGCCACTGTGGGCCCGACGAAGTTGCTCTTCGTCGCTTGAGATCTTGACGGACGTCCTCTGCGAAGAGAGAGCTGGCAACTTTCGTGGTTGTTTGACGACTCACATCGGAGCTTCAAAGGTACGGACGGACCCAGTAAGAAAAATCCTTGCAACGGATTTTCTTGGAAACAAGGTGTCAGCTCGGAGCGTTGCCTGTTCAGACAGACCATGCAAAACTACACCAACTACACTCGGAGCTCCAACTGCGCGCATGCTTTCCAAAGTTACCAGATCGTAAAAACAACCCCATTTAAGAATCTAGACCCGAGACGCTGTCAAATCAGTCGAATCTCAATCATCCGAGTGCTTTCTCTGTCTCTCAAACCAAAAGCCCCCCAACCCCAAAACTGGAGCCACATGCCGGTCACATGGCCGCACGAGCGCAACGTCATGTCCTCTTTGCTAGTCTTTTCTCATGGCCCTCCAGTCTCTCGCTCATCCCATCTCCCTTAGCTGGCGCTCTCTCGCTCGCGCTCTCTCTCTCCAGCTCTGGCTTGGCGGCAAGCCCGATACGATCCCCGCTTGGCTGCCTGAGAGGTCACTGCCGCTGCAGCTCCGACAGCACTCTGAGGAGCAGCTGCTCCTCAAGGGTCCGGATGGCTCTTGTTCATCGACATCTGGGGCAGTGAGGTGGCGGCGGAAACCAGGAGGACTGCACCAACAAACGGCGGGAGCGACGCCCTCATCCTTGCCGCAAAACAAATTACATGACATGCGACAAGCGCGCACGGATGTCTTAAACACCAAATCACGCAGGCACTGGCAGAGGGCTCGGAAGCACGGTGCCACTCACCAACCCTGTCCCAAAATATCCGGAGTCCCCGAAGCGACTATAGACCTATGGCACCACTCAAACTGCTAGACGGTTGGGATTCGTATCCGAAGCTGCGGGCGAGCTGATCACGCATTTCATCTCAATTCTTCAGCGCCTGGATATGGTTGTTTCCGAAAAATAGCGGTCTCTTCTCTTCCGGGGGTCCTTATACAGGACACGAATCTGTCCGGCCCTTCGAAGCAAAACGAGGCTCTTCCCTGAACACCCCTTTGTCACAGGCGACCTGACGAATGAAGGCCTTTATGTAAACAAAAAGGGGGCTGCGTTAATCAGGGCAAACGGTTGATGATATGAATCCTGCATTACTCAGAATAAGGAATACACCATAATTCCCATAGTTTAGGAGTCTAGGGTCCTTAAGCTAATGCAGGATTTATATCAGCAACAGTATCACTTGTCCACAGTGTCAAGAGGCTGCAAGGGGTTGTGTGTTCAGCAATACAGGCGGTGGGTGTCAGCTGGGCCAAACTGCAGCTCACAAAAGCCCCTGTAACAAACCCACAAAAGCCCTAGTACACAGCACCAAATTCCCTACTGTCAGACCCAAAAAGAAGGCCTCTGCCGTCCCGTTCGTCACCGTAGCAGCAGTCTCAGCGCTGCAGACGAGAGACTTGAGGACCTTGGCCTGCAATCGGCTAAGGCTTAGGGTTTGGGGTGTCGGCGTCCACCCTCGGACAAGCCAGGCGAGGCTCTTGGTGCTGACACGGTTGATGTGAGACAGTCGTAAGGGGAAACCGCACAAAGGATGATACTTTAGTTCCAAGATTTTCCAAGTAGACACATTGCAGCCTCGTTAAGATGTGATCGTGTGAGGAGCCAGACAATCGGAGAAGGTGTCATCTAATGTCCAAAGGATACACTTGCTCCAGCATCCGATCAGGCATGGTTCACCGGTTTTAAGTCTGATGCTTGGTCTGTTGCCTGATGCGTGAGACTTATTCGAGCTGACAGCTTCACAACCTGCGGTGCTTGAGTTTGGCCATTTGCCGATGGTATTGTGACCAAATTGAGGAGGACGAGTGCTGCAGACTGCCCCCGAAAAAAAAACATTCATTACATCATTGCAACAGCAAATGCTGATGACAGTAACGGCGATGACTCCGAACAAGACGAAAAACGATATCGACAAGGAGGCAAGACGACTTCTGGGCCGATGATCTGCTGTTGTACATACAGCAGATACCTGTTGATCGTCGAGCTGTCCCTACTCTACATACCTGCACTCATAAACTCACGCCCCACCACCATGCAATTACGCAACCTAAACAACATATTTTGCCAGGCTTTGTCCGAGTGTGAGTGTCAAAAAACAACATATTTTGCGGAACTCTTCTGTGTGGGCGGTCAAACTCGAGGTTGTTTTATATGCTTTGGGATGATTTAGGTTTGCAGCATTTTAGGTTGTTTAGTTCAAGCTCGGTTGTCTTATTGATTTAACGGTTATCTGGTGGTTTTCTCTAGGTTTGCTGGATCCGCTTGTCTTTTAGCTGTCTTGATTGATGCTTGATCTTGCTATTGCTCGGGTCCGTAAGTTTTTTGACAGCGGAGTAGCCCGGCAAAACCCGCCAAAACTGCACTCCCGTGGCGGCCCGTACGGTTTGTTGGTCCATATTTGATGGCGCTAGAGAGGATCCCCAGTACCAACGACTAATCATTTGATACATTCGCCGGCGGAAGGAAGTAGCCACAATGTGGCCTGCGCGGCCACCAAGCAGTTGCGACATTCTCGGTGCAGACAGTCTGCTTGGACCGGCAGTGCTGTTGGGTTCACATTCGGAGCTCATCCACCTGTCAAGACGATTTCCCAGAGTACCGACAGGTGCCTGACCGCGTGTCGCCAGCTCTTGCCGTTTGTTCTTTGGGCCGTGCCTGGCGCTGCTGCGTGGTTTTCAGACCTATTCTTTACGAAATCTCGGATAAGACGACTGAGGAGTACTGATAACTGATCACTCACCCTCGCTCTCATGTTATTATTCTTCTTCACGTTTCTCGTCATCATCTTTCGTACAATGGAGGTGGCTATCATGACGATTCCGACGGCTGTGACTGCAATCGTAACGCAGCCACGTGAAGCCTAAGCTTCTGCAAACCGGCATGTGCAGGACGACCCATTTCGGCATATCCAGTTTCCTACGAGGATCCCCATGCAGGGGCCCTTTGCGAATCCCCATCGCATAAAGGCGTGGGGAAATCGGCATCAGTCTCCTGCTGGCTTCATGTGGCTCAATGTTCAATGATGTGATGGGCACAGCTTTGGTGGTGGTTTTGGCTCCAGGCAGAATGGCACCACAGAATGCTGAGGAATCGGGTAGGGTCACCCCTCTGGTGCATAGATGCAGAGGTCATGGATGCTGATGATCCACTCAGCTTATGGCGGGCTAAGGGGGCGAATCGTTGTTTGCGGAAATTTTGAGCCAGGTACGTTTGAGACCACATCCAGGAATCCGCACCTCTTGTCGTGCCAGGCAACCATCATGGACGGGGCTGATTTTGGATGTAACAGCCGCTTCTCTGAATGCGGACATGGATGATGACCAGACTTATGTCAGACCACCAAGGGTTCTGTCTAAGCTGGGGCTATTAATTTAACAAAAGCTTTGGCGCCTCAAAAAGTCATTATATGGCCTTCGCAAGGGGCCCAAACTTTGGGAGCTGTGCCGAAACGAGGAGATTAACAACAAGGTCTTCTCGGAGCCTGGGGGAGTGAGATAATATTAACTTGATCCGTACCTGATTTCGTGGCATGCCTGCGTAAACATTTTCCAGGGTTCAGGGACTTGACACCCCAAATCCCTCCACCCCTAACCTTAACGCAAAGAAAAGCAGCACTGTGACGCTGACTGCAATTCAGTTTGACGCGGACATGCCTCGGCTCCAGACTTTAAACTCGAATAGCTTCTTCTCCTCAGTAGCGCAGGACCATGGCCTGTCTTCAAGGGCCTGTTGCCTTCATAGTCTCCGCAATTTAAGCCTTGCTAAGTCATAGGGTTCATTAATCAGGATCCAGCAAACTTAACGCATTCACAAACAAGATGCGCGGAGCCGGAACAAGATAGGCTGAACTACAGTATTTTCAATGAGTTCCGACTCGACAGCTAAACCGCTGCTCCATGATTTGATACAGGCTAGGAGTAGCATATTCAGCAAACCCTAAACCCTAAACCCTCAACAGGGAATGCTGTACTGCGTGGATCCTTGGCCTGCCACCTCGGTGCTTCAGAATGTCTTTCCCGTCGGTTAAAGCATTCCTTGCCTCACAGCTTGGGATGATGGAAGTCATGGACCGGAGAACGTGCCCCCTCTTGAGGAGCTTTGCCAAAGATACCATCAGAACAGTGTTTGCAGAAGTCACGGAAGTAGCCATCAAAGCAAGAAGAAGAAGAATGTCGTATAGAAACAAAGACAAAAGAGTCGTAGTAAGAATAAGACAAAGAATTAGCTACATCATAAGGTATGCCTACTATGGCATATAGCTTGACTTAGCTTCCTTAACATGGAACCCAGGGCATGAACCAAGAAGACCGGAAGCACAGTTGCGGGACCTGCCCTGAGACACTGGCGCACTGACGATGATCTTGGCGCCTGTCTTTACCTCACACCGGAGTGTCTTACGCCCCGGTCAGCTATTGTCAGCCATCCTCTTAAACCCCCACTCTAGATACCGAAACCCAACCCGTTCAGGCTTGGGGTTTCGGAGCTTGGGTTATTCAGGCTTCGGGGCTCCACCTGTATTCCCGAGCGCGCCAGCAAGCATGCTTCAATTTCAAGGGATTCCAAGATCAGGAACACGCGTCAGGTCGTGACATGTCTCATAATCCTCTCGACAAGTCAGCAAGGATCCTCAATGTTAAGAGTCAGAAACCCTGCAATTAGACAATCTTTCCGAAACTCCAAGCCTCAACCTAAGACTAAGACCTCTTTGGCTCTTCCTGCGCCAGATCATACTGAGCCATGCACCAGGTCAAAACTCTGCCCTTGCTTGAACACCTGTGCAGGGCCGCTTGAGCAAGCTTCATATAACTGCTTACCTGCAAGAGCATAGGTGTTCGTACAGGTTGTAGACTGGCTTGTTTCGGGGTTCTACCGAGCTTCTTGAAGGGTTCCACAAACCTGATCATGAACGCTTGTATACAGGTTTTAACAAGATTATCAAGACAGTTCAAGAGCAGCTTAGATGGATTTCTTTAGAACAGCTAAAAAAGTGTCCTTAGGGACTCGATAGAGATGTTGATATAGGTTTCAAGCTGGCTTGAAGACGGCTTACATGCAGGTTGAGCTCTTTCATCAGGCTCTAGGTGCAAAGCGGCTGTCAGGCACAAGCAATAATTCGAACTTCGCGACATAAGATGTCCGTTTCACTCAGACGGTTTGGTGTAATTCAAGAGTTCCTGGTTTTAGAAGCGTTTGGTCTGGAAGATCAACTTCCCAAAATGAGACTTTCATACAACGCTGCAAGACATCGCGAGCATCTAAGAACTAACTGCAACTGCAACAGTCACCAATTCGATTCTTGGAAACTAAGAGGCTCAAAAATTCAAAATTTCCTGCAGTGGTCCCAATGTTCAGGAGAGAGCATGCAGACAAGAATGTTTGGTGTTGTGGTTGCAGCTTAAAAACAAAATTCCCAGAGGAAACTTGTCGTGCCACCAAAAGACAAACTCGGAATGCTGAAGTAGGAGCTGCCTCTGCATGCTCCGCCAGTTCGCTCCGATTGCGAGTGCCCATAGCTGCTACTGGCTTCCGAAACGCACCTAACACAGAGATTCTGCTGTTTTCCAGCGTTGACGTGCCAAACCGATTCACAAGGCCAGAGTTCTGCTTCTCTGCACAAGCAAAATGAAATGTCTGCTGTTAAATATCCGACATGACAACATGAAGAACACAGCTGATCCACTGCCATCGAACCATTAACGATCGTAATACAGTCAGTTTTACTGGACGGCCCGTCTTTGCCGTCAGCAGCTTCCTCTCTCAATTCGATGCAACCAAAATTTTTCAACACACAACAGCACTCGCTCTTGGCGATCAATGCTTGGCCTCGTAAATGCGGGTTTTGTGCCTGGACTGCAACAGAGCCAAAGTCGGTGCTTTGAACCTGCATCGACTTTGCACGTCCCACAGAACTGTCTTACATCAACTGTGTCAGCACTTGTTATGTACCGACATCCAAATCGCCCTAAATCCTAAACCCTGAACTCTAAAACTCTAAACTCTAGATCTTAAATGATCATAAACTCTAAATCGATTTTAGACTCTCGTCAGCGCTGACTGCTACGGTGACGGCATGGCACGGATGCCTTCTGTTTGGATCTAAGCACTTGAAGGATTATGGAACTTAGTAAGTAAGTTTGAGGTTTAGAGTTTAGAGTTTAAGGATTAGAATCATGGAATCTCAGCCACATCAATATCGAGGTTCTTACCACCGACTTTGGTGTTAAGTGTACAAAGGGCGGAACACGAGCTCTTAATATATGCTAGAATTCTGTGGTTCTGTCAGCTCAGTCACGAGGTCCTGCAACGGACCTTTTGAAGCGGCTTTGAGGCCGAGTGCTACAACGAGACGCTTGAGTTTAAGTTTGATGCTGCTCGCTCAGTCTCGCTGCCTCTGTGGGGATGTGCCAGATTCTCGAGCTCCCATACGGCATGCTGGCGTTGCAAGAAACATTATTTCAGATCTGGTGGTTGAGTATGAGCATGGCAACCTGACGTAGGTGATGGAACTGGGCCTTCGCATTGCACAGTTTGTGCCGCTTTCCCCCTTAACGGTAATGGGAGATATTCTGTGGGACACTCTCGGTATCTAACCCAAACGTTATGAAAGTTTTCCCTTTAGATAGGAGAGTGTAACAGAACAGGGAGGCCAACGGAACAGCAATAGGAGTGGTGCGGCCTTGACGGCTTCCCCAAAACCCTTACTGAGGCACGCCAGGAGTTCGCAACAGCTTGCACAAGTGAGTCCGCTAGATTCAGAAGCCGTTCCGCGTTGGCTACTCTGCCTGGGCTTTGAGCTTGGCCTTCTCAGCGACTGCAACAGAATTCCGAATAACTGCTGGGAGCCTGGTGGCCGACAACGACATTCTGCTGCAAGTACGACCTCGTTGGCAATCGCACACTAGTGTATCAACTGGCTTGCCTGGTGTGCTCGCGTACGAACTGCGCCATCCTCGCTGGCAGCGATTGGATGCAGGGC